CCAAAGACATGCATGCTAAGTTATATGGCATCCTTTAATTGCCCTAAGGTGTGTTTGGTTGTGTGTGTGCATGGTTTTATGTCTGTGTTGCCCTGCAATAGCCTGGCAAACCTGTCAAGTGGGTACCCCACACTTTACCCACAGACTGCTTAAGGCACAAGCCCAACCATGAGCCTGACAGGGAACCAGAGGATGGATGAATTTAACTGAATTTCTGTTGAAGGAAAATGAGCTAAAAGCTACAATTTGCTTTATTCTAAAACAGACCAAAGTCTGCCTTAATGGCCAGTACCATGCATGTTTTAAATGTGCTTCAGCACACCTGGATCCAAACATCATTTAACTATTAAAATCATCAGTGTTAGAGTATGAATAAATATCTATACAAGTACCAGAAATTAGCCCAAAGAACTAATAAGGGTGGAGCTATTCATAAAAATTAGATGTGGAAATGAGAACAAAAATCCTCTGGTCTGAACAGGTCAAAAAAAACTATCTGCTAAAAAATATTAGGCCCAAGAAGTGAAACTTGGTTCCAGACAGAATTTTGAAAGAGAAAAGTAGATAGTGAATATTGAGAAAGGTTTGTGTATAGGTTCTGCAGCTGCTGAAGCATGAAAAACACAACATCATTCATGATTCTCCCTATGGACATCTCCCTGAGTTAATCGTCACATTACATGGGAGCTGATTTGAGACAAAGAACTAATTCTGTTGCAAAGCTCATGTGTGGCTGTGTTTTATTGTTTTTGAAACCACTCCCTCTGGAGATACTGTTTGGGGTTAATTGGCTTAATTGTCCACACCTCTGAATAAAAAGCATACCCTGTGAGGATAGCTGAGCTCCATCTCTCTTGTGTAACAGCAGTTTGTAGTACTTGTGCATAGCTTTACCCCTGGTACAACTCATTATATACTTTAGTTGCTTTTTCAGCAATGACTTCTTGTTTTCAAAAGTCTTCCTACCTCTAGTCCAAGATGTAACTCAGGTATAAGAGCTCTATAACTGTGCCCCATGAGTTATCAGTGAAGCTCAGTAGAGCAGCTGACTGCTATAAGTGAGCCATAGGTTGTTTTAATGTCTTATTAAAAGATGAGGGAGCTCATTTCTATCTCTTTGCAGGCGCTGAGGTGTGATGTCCACAATATTTAATCTCCTGCCCAACAAACATCATATTGTCTTAATGCCTCATTTAGCTGAAGGGGAAT